TTCAAGGCTCAGGGGTCCAGGATTATCTTCTGTGTCTGTGTTAATTGGTTTCCCTTTTCTTTGTTGAAGAGGGTCTGTGCAGTCTTTCTGCCTAGTCCGCCATCTTGCCGGTCTCCCAGATATTTACTATTTAAAAAATTGTTTTTCTTTACTAAATATAATGTATTTGTACTAGATTTTTTTTAACATGTGAAATCTTACTAATTATAAAACAATTTCTCTAATTTTTAACTTCCTCCTTATTCAATCAATTCTTGAAATCAGAACTCAAAAAAAAGTAAAACAACCCTCACTGCCATCACGTCGATTCCAGGTCATAGCAACCTCCACTGAGTTTCCAAGGCTATACATCTTTATGGAAGCAAACTGTGTTAATCTTTCTTCTGTGGAGTGGCTGGTGGGTTTGAACCACTGGCCTTTTGGTTAAAAGCTAAATGCCTTAACCACTTACCCCTGCAAATAACTTTCTATTTTTCACTTTCTTTCTAAGGGTCCCCTCCTACTTCTATAGGAAATTAGATACAGTAACAGTGAAGGAATTTCAAAACAGAGGAATGCGTATATGCAGCATGATTTTTACAGGAAAATAAAAATTATACATTTTTCCAATGTACAGTATTGGGAATACCAAGGAGCTCATAGACTAGAGTCAGTCTTCAACTAGAGCAAGTGACCAAAAATGCAAACATGGAAAGCAAAGCAGGAAGAGTTCATAAAGTTTGTTGCTCGTTAGACTGCCACTGCCAAGATAGATATGGAAAAAAACAGTCTAATTGCTTACTTGAGCTAAAAAAGTAGAAGTAATCTCTGTGGTTCTGAGTTACTACAATAATCACTCTCCTTAGTTTCAGTCACTTGCCCCAGGTGAAGATAGAATTTGTATGGGTTTCTGGGTTGTTTCAGCTGGCCTTGACCATGACTACATCCATGATCTTCTCATTGGGCAACTTGCTATCTTTTGGGTGCGGACAGATGACCCTGAGAAAGTGAGCCATATCAAACAAGTGAAGGTTATTTATAGTTATGATGGCTTTAACTATCAAGTAATGGTTCTTATTTCCCCTCTATTTTCATCATTTCCTCTAGTTGGCAAGAAAACTTGTAAGAGTTTTATTCTATTTGAAAAACTCAATTACTTTATTACCTCTTCTATTTTCTTAGGAGATGTCTCACTTTTATTATTTCTGAATTCTTCATTTATCTTAATTCTGGCTGCTAGAGAGAGAAACATATACACAATTATTTTCTTTTCTAATTAATAATTTTGGTCCTAATAATTTGCATGGTATTATGTTATTCATTATGAACAACTATTTCTTTATAGGATAGGACATAGTTTTGTCCATGTAAAGTGAAGTAGATAAACTAGAAATTTATTAAAGAGCCTCTTGGAGAGCTCTAGACAGGCTGGCATTTGTAATTAAACTTAGTATAAAATTTTAGCACTCTCATATTTTTGTTTGCTGCTTTTTACTCTTAACTTCCCTTGTGTACCTCTAGCTGTTGGATTCTAACAAATCCAATTTAATGCTTTGTTTCTAAAAATTTAAGGATTTAGTAAATCTTCACCCAAATCCTAATAAATAAATAAATAAATAAAAATTTAAGGATTTAGATTAAAATGCCTTTTTAAGATGGTAAAACTCAATACATGCAAGGTGTTCAACTATACACACACAAGAGTAAAGATAAGCAGCAGAGAAGATATATCTGTAATTTTGAGTGCTTTAACATGTAGATTGAGTGACAAAGAAAACTTTTGTTCATGTACACCACTGACCTTTGGTATCATTACAATAACATAATTTAGTATAATCTGACTCACAAAAGTTGATCTTTTAAAATTTCTCTTTTACTGTGTGCATTTAATGGAACAATCCACGTAAAGTGCTTAGTAAAGATGTACGTAATAAATATTAGCTGTTCTTACAATTATTTTACCAATAAAACAATCTCAAGCAACAAAAATATGCCATGTTGATGGATAATAGCCATAAAACCTTCTTCCTACACCTGACATATGTCAGTGTGTAAAGCGGTTGAGAGTTCGGGCTCTGGAGTCAGACTGCTTACTAGCTCCACCTCTTACTAAAGTATGAGGTGGGGGCAAATCCTTGAACATTTACCAGTTTTCTCATCTGTAAAAATGGGAATTATAATAGTAACTATGTCCCAGGGTTGTTAGGAGAATTAAATGAGGAATTCATGTAAAGTGCTTAGAACATCAGCCATATACTTTAACATACAAGAAGTTGTTTTTTGGTGAGTTACAGAAACTTGAATTCCTAGGGACAATGGGGACTCTTAACAAAGTTTAGAACTGAACATGACTAACACAGAATCTATGCTTTAGAGCTGTGACTTCCTCTTAAAACAGTGATAATACATTTGGAATCATTTGGGTTAGATTTTCCTTCATAGATGCTGTGATTTCTAGACTGACACAAAGCATTAACAATATGGTGATATCTGGTCTTAAAAGAGTGTGAAAATGTGGTTACACAATAAAGAAACGGGTTGAATGGTTTGAACATAAGGTAAACAATGGAGACCACTGAAATTCTGATTTTTTTCTTTTTTGGTTGATTCTTCATGAAAAGTTGATCTTTTAAAATTTCTCTTTTAAGTAGTTATTCAAAGAAATGTAATATATAAACTCCAAAACAAAAAACAAAATAAACATACTAGTCTTTATAAAACATAACAACCTTAGGGAAGAGATAGATAGTGAAGGCCATTCGGGCGGCCCCCCACTCCGCAAAAAAAGGCCTTTACTATACAGGGTCTTTTGCATAGATTAGCAGTTACTTGGCAGGCTAAAAAGACCCTTAGTGGAGATGCTGAAGAATTAACTTGCTATAAAGGGGTAAAAAAAATAGATTTACCTTCTAGTGCCCTGGTATCATTTTTAAAAACTTGTTGTCTGGTCCTGTGCAATGTTTTAAAGAGCTGTAAAACCTGTTAACAAAATCAGAATTCAGACCTCAAAATAAAAAAAATATTACATCATATAACTGTATTACAAGAATTAAACAATATTCCTTTTCTGTTTGTTTTATAATAACTAGTGAAAAGTAGAGTTTACCAAAACAACTTTCCCTTGGTTGCCTTTAAATTAAAAAAAAAAAAAGTTCTGTTTGCAAAAACAATATAAAGTGGTTTGAAACAGAATCAAAGATAGTTAAAAACTTAGTAACAAACCCTCTCTAAGAAAAAACTAGCCTGCTAAGGTAACCAACTTTATGAATCTAGTATGTATTTGTTCTTATCATTGTCCTAACATAATATGATCCATTTTTGCTCCCCAAACAATTCTTATTATAATTGTACTAATTCACGTTGATATGTATTAGGAATACATATAAAATAAATTTTGGAAGGACTGACATTTTTATGGTATTAAGTATCATATCCAGAAGGAGTTCTGGTGGCATTGGGTTGCTAACTAATAGGTCAGAGGTTTGAACCCACCAGCTGCTCCTTGGGAGAAAGATGAGGCAGTCTTGCTTCCGTAAAGATTTTCAGCCTTGGAAACCCTATGTAGGCCATTATGAATTGGAACTGACTTGATGGCAGTAAGTTTTAAGTTTCATATCCAGCAGTGGGTGTTAAAGAGGAACACCGAGGATACTTTGTTGTTGTTGTTGTTGTTGTTATGTGCTGTCCAGTCGGCCCCAACTCATAGTGACCCCTCCGTGGGTTTCCGAGGCAGTATCACTACAGAAGTAGATTGCCCCATCTTCCTTCCGAGGAGTGGAGGATACTTTAGCCACCTCCAAACATATAATGAATGTTCCCTAAGTTGTCCCATTCTTTAGTGTGAATAATCAATATTTTTTCAATAATATGTAAAGACCTTCCAAAACACAGCTTTTAAGTCCCTCCTACTTCCAACCTGACTGTAGCTCCCACATACTGTCAAAAGAAAAACTTGATTCACAGCTGCCACCCAGGATAAGATACTGCCATTTATTCAGATCTTATTTTCTGTTCTTTTATAAGACTTGACATGTTTCTTTTAAAAATTATTTATATATTTTTTAAAAATCATAACTAGGTATTTTATAATTCCTATTGCTCTTATGGGTAGGTTAATTCCTGTCTTCCCTGCTATTCTCAACAAAATATTGCTGATGTAAAGAAAAAGGTAATGATTTTTATACACCCATTTTGAATTCTGCTGTTATACGAATTATCTTATTAATTCTAGCTGTTTTCTAGGAGGTTATCTTGTGTTTTTTTTGTTGTTGTTAGGTGCTGTTGAGCTGGCTCCGACTCATAGTGACTATGCACAACAGAACTAAACACTGCCCGGTCCTGCACCAGCCTCACAATCCTTGCTATCTATACCTGAGCCCATCGTCGTAGCCACTGTGTCAATCCATGTCATTGAGGGCCTTCCCCTTCTTTGCTGACCCTCCACTTCACCAAGTATGATATCCTCTTCCAGGGAACGATCCCTTCTGACAACATAATCAAAGGAGGTGAGATGAAGTCTGGCCATTCTCGTTTCCAAGGAGCATTCCGGCTGCACTTCTTCCAGGACAGATTTGTTTGTTCTTTTGTCAGTCCATTGTACTTTCAGCATTCTTTGCCAATACCACAACTCAAAAGCATCAACTCTTCTTTGGTCTTCCTTGTTCACCGCCCAGCTCTCATGTGCATATGAGGCAACTGAAAATACCATGGCTTAGGTTAGGCACACCTTAGTCTTCAAGGAGACATCTTTGCTCTTCAGCACTTTAAAGAGGACTTTTGCAGCAGATTTGTCCACTGCAATGTCATCTGATGTCTTGACTGCTGCTTCCACTGGTGTTGCATTAGAGGTATAATTTTATCATATTCAAATAAGGACTGGTTTTCTATCCTTTCCCATTATATATATTGCTCATTTCATTTTACTATTTTGTTATATTACTTTGATCCTCTAAATTAAGCAGTAGTTGTTGGTCCTTTATTTAATATGACTGCTGTTAGTTTTTGATAAATAGTCTTTATTATAATGTTTAAGTAGTTTCTATTTCTATTTTAGAGCTTTAATGAAGACTGGGCTACTGAATAGAACTTTATCAATTGTGCTTTGGGCATGACTTGATATAATCTGAATTCTTCTCTTCTTTAATTGATGATATAACAATTTTTTTTAATACTTTCTAACACTAAACCATTCTGACATTTCTTTTAGAGACTATGGCAATGTGATCATAATGGTATATTTTGAAACATGGGTAGATTTGATTAATAATTATTTTATTTAAAATGTCTATATCTACTTTCATAGGTAGATTAGAGGTACACAGGGTTGTTGTCAAGATCTTCATTAAGCTTTGGTTTTCACCAGCTTCATATAGTGAATAGAGCGTTCCATATAAATTTGGCAGTTCATATACAAAAAATTTAAAAATTGGAATAGCACCTAATTTCTATATACATATCTATATGTGCTATAAGAATGTCTATAAATATAATAGAGCTAATGGGGCAAAGTTATGATAACTTCTTAGCCACAGACAACCTCAAGCTGTCGGGCCTGTGGGTTTGGGACCATGGTCATGGGCAACACCATGCTCAATTGGCAGAACATACTACACAAAAAATACTGTTCTACATCCTACTTTGGTGAGTAGCGACTGGGGTCTTAGAAGTTTATAAGCAGCTATATAAGATGCAATAATTGGTCTCTCCTCGTCCAGAGTAAAGAAGAATGAAGAAAACCAAAGATGCGTGGAAACAATCAAGAGGTTAGTAGACCACAAGAACCTCAGCCTACATGACTATGAGAGCAGAAGAACTAGTGCCTGGCTAGCACTTTTATGGTGTAGTAAATTACATGGTATGGTTTTTCTAGCCATAGTCTTGGTAACTCCCACTTTGCCCTGAGCAACTGAGTACCTGATTATTAAAGTTATCCACCCGATATATCTCTGTCGGAGTGGCAGGAAGTAATTTTCTGGGAAGTTCAATCTCTCAGGTATATGGAATTCTGGTGTTGGGATTGGTTGGTTTTGCCGGGCTTAAAGTGAGCCCACTAGAGGCAGAGAAGAGGGAATCTCTCACTGCCCACTAAGAGATGTGCTGCTGAGAGAAACACACTTGCTGACAGAGAGACGTGAGAGACACGTATTGCTGAGAGATGTGAGAGACACGCACTGCTGAGAAAGAGACGTGCTACTGAGAGAGAGTGAGAGAGACTGCTGGCTGCTGAGTGAGACAGTTGGCTGTGAGAGACTGAGTGCATTCCTGAACTTGAATTGTAGCCTGTTGCTTCCCTAATAAACCCCATAATCTATGAGTTCTGTGTGACCACTGCAGTGAATTATCAAACACAGCAGATAGGCTGGTGATGAACGGTTGGTAACAGGGTTAGTAAGAGGGCTGGAAGGTGGTGGTGTGTTTGGCCTCATAAAAACAGGCCTTGGGCTGCTCTGCTGATGGTGATTCTGTCTTCCTCTTGTGGAGTTAGAGGAGGTCAGAAGATGCCACCTCCTTACCCCTTTGGCAACTGTCAACTACTCAGAACTGGATCAGTGTAGAAGATTCTGGATAGGGTGGGAAAAAATGTGGAATGAAACTCAAAATTATAAAAAAGACCAGGCTTACTGGTCTGATAGAGCTTGATGAAAGCCCCAAGACTATGGCTGCTAGTCACCCTTTGGGCCTGGAATTGAACTCACACCTGTGGCTTCTAGCCAAGCAATAAACCGGCATATAAGGTGAACATTTACACCAGATGGATATACTCCTTAGAACAATCAACCATGGGAGATTAGAAGGGCAGTATTTGCACAGGGAGATAGCTCAGAGGGCAGGAATGCAAAGGAAAGAAGGATGCGGGGAAAAGGTAATCACAGGGAGGAATTGGGAAGAGAGCTGGTACATTATGGGGATTGCAATCAATGTTATGAAACAAAATATGTATGAATTGTTGTATGGAAAAGGAACTTGCTCTGTAAACTTTCAGCCAAATCACATATACACACAAAAATACTATTTAAAAAACCGTAACTGTCATTAAAAAAGAAAGAAAGAAAGAAAGAAAAGATTAACTTCTCCACAGACATAGAACAAACTCTTTCACAGTATGCAGGACTAAGTCTGCCAACCTACTGAGCTCTGGGTTCAGAAACAGGAAGAGTCAGACAAGTACTCACTCAACTACTATGGTAACACAGAGGCTAAATGTGCTCAATGGTAAACAAGAGGCTGAACCCAAGGCTCCGCTTAAAATCTTGGCTGAAAAAGGTCTCCTGTACCTGTGAGAGGAGCTTGAAACAGCTAAGAAAAGTAGTAAACAAACCTAAATATAAAATTAAAATTAGTATGGTTTGAATTTTCACAGAAATAAAGAAATAACATTCATAGACAATAATTTCAAAATAAAGGCAAAATGAAACTAAGATCAGCACCATCATCATCATATCTGACATTTATTGTGCATATACTGTGGGTAGGGACCATTTTAAATGCTTTATATATATAAGAAAACCTGCAACATTAGAACCAGACACCAAAATAGAAAGAGGAAACAGGAAGCAGAAAACTTAAAAAAAAAAAAAAAAAAAAAAA